GAATAGAATAGAATAGAATAGAATAGAATAGAATAGAATAGAATAGAATAGAATAGATTTCTTTATTGGCCAAGAGTGGTTGGGCACACAAGGAATTTGTCTTGGTGTAAATGCTCTCAGTATACATAAAACAAAAGATACATTCATCAAGTCAAGAATCATCAGGTACAACACTTAATGATAGTCATAGGGTACAATAAGCAATCAAATCATACTAGGAAACCGTCAATATAGATCGTAAGGATACACGTGATGAAGTTACAGCCATACAGTCACAAGTGGGAATGGATGGGTGATAAGGAGTGATGAGAAGGTTAATAGTAATAGTAGTGCAGACTTTGTAAATAATTGGACAGTGTTGAGGGAATTATTTGTTTTAGCAGAGTGATGGCGTTTGGGGAAAAAACTGTTCTTGTGTCTAGTTGTTCTGGTGTGCAGTGCTCTATAGCATCATTTTGAGGGAAGGAGTTAAAACGGTTTATGTCCGGGATGTGAGTGGTCTGTAAATATTTTCACAGCCCTCTTTTTGACTCGTGCAGTATATAGGTCCTTGATGGAAGGCAGGTGGGTAGTAATTGTTTTTTTCTGCAGTCCTAATTATCCTCTGAAGTCTGTGTCTGTTCTGTTGGGTTGCAGAACCAAACCAGACAGTTATAGAGGTGCAGATGACGGACTCAATAATTTCTTTGTAGAACTGTATCAGCAGCTCCTTGGGCATTTTGAGCTTTCTGAGTTGGCGCAGAAAGAACATTCTTTGTTGTGTTTTTTTGATGATGTTTTTGATGTTAGGTGTCCATTTTAGGTCATGTGATATAATAGAACCTAGAAATTTGAAAGTCTCTACTGTTGATACTGTGTTGTCTAGTATTGTAGCAGATGGTTGTATGGGAGGGTTTCTTCTAAAGTCTACCACCATTTCTACAGTTTTAAGTGTGTTCAGTTCCAGATTGTTCTGGTTACATCACGAGGCAAGTTGTACAACTCCCTCCATTTTTAATTGGGTATTTGATGGATGGCATGATTTTTGTTGACTTATTATGGAAGGGTTACCATAGTACACTGAGTTTTGGCCTGAAGTGATTGATTTTTACATTTCTAATCTTGTCATTGCAAACTGTTTACAGTCCACATAAGCTATAGCTAAGCAATGTACTGTAAAATAAGTAACTAAGATGTCTGTGGAGATTCTCAGTCATCTAGGTCATAGTTATTTCAAAGATGTTTTTTTTCTTCAAAAGGCAACTGGACCATGTTTTTTTTCTTTTCCCTTGAAGAAGACGACATTTCACTTCTCATCCAAGAAGCTTTATCAGTACTAATGAAGCTTCTTAGTTGAGAAGCAAAACATCTTCTTCTTCCTTAAGAGAAAAGGGAAAAAAACATAGTCCAGTTGCTTTTTGAAAAAGCATCTTTGAAACAAGTAACTATGACAGAAAATCAGCAACAAAATACCATGGGCATTTGACAAGTGGACATAAAAGTACATCAAAACTTTTGAACATATCCCTTAAAAAGGAAACTGTGTGTGCTAATAATCTACCTAATTTATCATTGTTACTCATTTTATGCAGATGAGAATACAGCTTATTACTAGAATGTACTGTTGCCAATGTGAAGAATAGTAAAAAAACCGAAAAGTCCAATTACACTCATGAAAAAGATTTTCTTAAAGATTTTGCTGTGTAAGATTGCTAGCATATATAACTAAGACTTCCTTGTTTATTGTTTTCATCTATATTTAAATCTTTAATTTTCAAATCTTCATTACATTGTACAAGCACAGCCCTTCCAAATTAATTAAGCCAATTGTATCCAGTTTGAACAAAATCCAAATTTTCCATCCTATTATTAGTGCTTCATTTCATATATTGTCAGATCTGTTGTACTTTCTATTGTTTCCTCAAATCAGGCTACTTGGCGGTTTTATTCTACTGATTCAAGACGAACAAACCTGACAGCTACTTGGCGATATTATGAATATAGTCTTCCATCCCTCAGGCATGTATCAGTACTATGAATGCTACAAAAAACAATACTTGTATTGGTTTACTAATATGCTTCTCCATTTTTGTTTGCCTTTTTCTTTTATCATATATCTGCACGTAGTGTGTATGGCGTAGTTATGCAGCTGATGAGAAATCGGTTTCCATTGCTACCTGGAAGCCTCATTTGAAGGCCTTACATACCTGCAGCCCTACAAAGTAGGTAAAAATATGGCAGCTGGTGTTGTACTTGATATCTGGTTTTGAGATTATACAAATCAGTCTGTGGTTTTTGTCTTGTCTTTCTACTTTCCCTTTTCCCCACTCATTTCCTTTTATTTTCTTTCACTGAGGAACTCAGGTAGCAAACTGGGACACATATACATCTTCCAAATAAGATCAATCTAATTTCTATTTTATTTTGCTTCTTAACAAATTTTATAATTAAACAATAGATAATTTTGCAGTCTTCAAATCCTTGTGAAACCTAACCTTTAAACACCATCTAGGCAGGTATTAGGTTCAGTTAATTCATCTCACTTCACATAGTTAGAGATATATATGCATTTTTGGATGTACACTATTTATACTGACTTCCATTGCTTGCTCATACTAATTCTGCTTATAAATGAAAGAGGAAAACAGGTTTTTTTTTTCACACTTTGCATCTTGAACTTTTCACTGTGCAAATCAATGTTCCTCAATTAAGGTCAAAGTATCATATTAATCTACACTAACACAACCTTTGGTTTGTAGCATTTAGACAAAAAAAAGTTTAGATATACAAGCAGTTGATTACTTCAAAACTCTACTGCTACTCCCACCGCAATACAATATGTTTTTTTTAAAGAAGCTTAAATATCATCTTACTATCTGTATTGTCCTTTAGAGTCACATATTTCCTCTTTCTATGAGAAACATGTAGGAGGGTGCTAGTGATGAAACTCATAATGAGTGTTTACCAATTTCAGTCATAGTTAATCATATGATTCTTGGGAAACAATCATTTTCAGTAAAAGAGAAATGTGTGATTTTGCATTGCCATGATGAATTGGAGCACAGAGAGATGTTTACTATTTCTTCAAATACTGTTCTTAGCTAGGTAACAAGTCAAGGTGATCTTCTCATTGCACCTTGTGATAGAGTGTGATCAACAAATACACATTAGTTCCCTTTTTTCAAAAATTTTGCTTCCTAAAAAACTTTTGTCTATAATAGAGTCCCTCAAACTGAACGCAAATATAATTTCAGAATGACTGTATCATGTAGCAATCCCGAGATATGAAATTAACTTTTAATTACTGTAATGTATTTAATCTCATAATGTTTCCAACATGCTGCAAGAATTCAGCAGATTTTTAAGAAAGAAGTCCAAGTGTGAATGCAAAAAATTAATCTTCAGTGACATGTTGCACTTCATGGTCTTGTATGCTGTACGAAATTTGTCAACCAACTGAATGAATGCCAAGAAAATTCTCAGTGACATCCTTGAAAGTTTTCCAGGCAATTTCTCTGGCCCCACTAGATCTTCACAGCACTTGTCATTGATATTGTATTTGATCTGGGGACCAACAAAACTGCCTTCCCTATTCTTACCATTAATTATTGTTGCAAACATCTATCTCAAATAACGAAAACCTTCACCTTCCTTGTTCATCGATTTCATAAATTTTTTCATCAGTCCATATTTTGTGTAAAGTAGAGGAAAAATATTTTTGTCAGGTTAACAAGTGGTTCATGTGTCACATTCTTCTGTCCTGGAACAAAACTCTTTCGGAGTGGCCATTTCTTTTTAATGTAATGCAACTCTCTTGCATGGCTATTCCATTCCCAACGGTACTTGGTATATCTGAACCACATTCTAAAGCAACAGAGCCACTATCTTAGATTCCCACAAGATATACCAGTACTACTTGTTGTTATACTGGATGTGCTTCAACACTGTCCCATGTTTTTGTATGTTTCTTTCATGTGTGCAGCATGGCCATTGTATAAAAACAGAAGATGTTTTTATAAAATTGTACATGAAAAGTTAAATTACAGCTTATTTCTGTGATTAGTAGATTTATAAGATCACACCCAAAAGTGTTCAGGAAGCAAAATCTTTATTGTCCAGTCTATTGTTCTTAGCTAGGCAACAAGTTATTGTGATCTTCCCACTACGTCTTGTGGTAGAATGTAACCAACGAATATGTATTAATTTCCTACTTTTGCAAAAATGTTACTTTAAATATAATAGTAATGATGCATGTTTCTCGCAATTATGGTAACAAAACTGTTTGAAAGAGATACATATACAGCTTTAACAATAATAGAGGTCTCTTATCCTTAAAACTTAGCCCAGTATTTTGCATGTTTAGTACTTTCTGTAGCAGAAAGAGCAGTTGGGTTAATTTTTGGAATAAATTTGTATAGCATAGCAATTGTATTAGGCATCAACTACCCATACTAAGTGGTAAGGGTGTAATTTTGGCCATATCAGTTTTCAGTTCTTATAAATAATTAAGCCATAGATCTACATATTACAAGATAGTTATGGCCAAAAAGAAATGCAATTGGTCCTTTTGTAAGACATCCCCAGTCTCAGTAATTAAATTAATTCTATTTCATTACTGCAGATAGCTAACAGTTCTCTGTTATTTGTATATGACCCTTATAAATGCTTTGTCAACTCTCTCTCTAAACATGTATAATAAGCATGTTGAGCATGCATTAACAGCATTTTATTTTTTTTAATGTCACTATAAATCCATGCTTGGATGTTTGTGCTTGCCTTTTTCAAAATATTTGCTTATAATTTTTAAACATTTATTTAATTAACAAATCCAATTGCAACTTAATAATTATTTAATAATATTTGTAACCACATCATGATGGGTACTGCCAGCATAACAAATTTTTTTCCTCCCCAAAACCCTCTCTCTTCTGTTATCTGACTCATGAAGGAAAGAACAAGGGGAAGCATCAAGCAGGTTTGTAGTGTTTTTATGCATATAGTCTAAAAACTTAAATGTTATTTTGGAAATTTTTATACTACTTTGGGAATGAAAATATATTATTATACTGCAAAATAATTAAAGGCTGTGCTTAAATCCAATTAGAAGAAAGGGGGAAAAGTTTTCCTGGATAGATCATTATTCTGAAGCAGACAAAATGGCACTCAAAATAAAAGCCAGAAAGTTTTTCTGTTAAGAAGCAAGAAAATGACAGAAGGTAGCCATAGATTGTTAGATAATTAAGGATTAAGTAGCTTTCCATATCTGTTGAGATAGAGAGGATTTTAAATTAATCAGAATATTTTGACTGAATTGAACAAATATTTCTGCTCTACTTTTGTAAAGAACTTTGAAAATAAAATCAATGTAGGATATGCTTAAGCAATAGTTTTGATTCATTAAAAATACTATGGGCTACATTCAGTGAAAGGACCTGCCCATAGTAATCTGCCTTTGCAAACAGTAGGTTTAAGGTTAGACATTTCTATCATATATTCTACTGGTGTAGTTGATCTGTTGGAAGAATGACTAAAAACCAATATACTACAGAGATTATAAAATTGAGCCAGGATGAGGATACCCACATTTAAATCCCAGTTCATCTAGAAAGCAAGCAGGATTATTTTGAAAAAGTCACTATCTCTTAGTTTAATTAACCAGATAAACTGTGGTGGGGATAAAAATTTGAGAGTAATATACATACCTCCTTAAGTTCCTAGAATGAAAATTTAAAGTAAATAAATTCTACCTCTGAATTAAACCATCTAAAGCTGAAAAGATGAACATATATATACATGGAGGTGGGGGGCAAGATACATATGGTAGTTACATACCGGTAGCTTTTTATCCTTATTTTGATGTACCTTTGAATCATTTACCAGGTCTTCTACATATACATTTGTCATTATTTAAAGAAATAGAATATTTTGCCTACAGAAACTAGTTACCTGGCAGTCAAGCAGGAAAGGCTGCTATCAGCAGATGAAAATCCTGCTGTTGTCCTCAGCTGCTCAAGTTCAATCAAATAATCAGGATCTGGCAGATCCATTTATTATACAGCAGCTAAACTATAGGAAGAATTTTGATTTGATTCAGTCTTTGTATATAACTGACTACCTGAGGTTTGAGCAATCCAATGCCCTCCAAATGATTAGTTATACTTTCCATCGTACCATGTCATTAATCATGCTGGCTGGAACAAATGAGACTTGCAAAATATTTAGAGGGTACGTAGTTGTATCCACTTCCATTTAGTCCATCTTTCTCCAACCAAGTATCTCTCAAGCTTTGATCTGCTGCTGATGAATTGTAAGTCAAAATATGAATTGTAAGTCAAAATATCTTGGGGGTTTGGTGGCAGCAGCAACAGATCATAAAAATCTCATTTAGATCATCATATTATTTTCAGCATGATTGGACAAGTATCCCTGGAAGATTACTACATAAGCAGACTATAAATTTGATAACCATCTTTGTTATGTTGCCTTCTGATAAATACATTCTTTTTAAATGTAATTAATGGCCAGAAATAAAAGTTATTTCTATGAATTGGCCTTGTTCTTTTAAAAGTATGTGTGAAACTTAAGTCACTGTCTCATTTGACTTCAAACATGTATGTAGGGTGATAGAAGTACTTCGCTAGATTGATTGACCATTCCTACACAGTACTCATCCTTCTTGGCCTGAGATTTCTCTCCTAAAATCTATAGTTAAATAGGCATTTTAGGTATTTTAGGTATCTTTTTCTCTTTTCCTCACATCAATTATTCTTTTTCTCCTAAAATACAAATATAGAGAGTCCTTGACCTTCAGCAACTGTCTGAGGTTATTTCAGCGCTGAACATTCGAATGGTTGTTACAACCAATCCTTATAATTCCAGCCATTTGAGCACCCCTACAGCCACATGATCATGATCTAGGTGTTTGGCAACCTATTCGCATTAATTGTTCATATTAGTATTTATAATACTGGTATTTCAAATATTTAAACTTTTTCTTTCCTTTTTTTCCAATTGGCATTCCATCTCAGGGCAGTGACTTTATCAACAGAATTTTCTTCAAATCTTTATCATACAAACATACCTATATATTCATTAAATAAACCACTTTCAATAAAACAAATTGCCTTTTTTATTTTAGGTGTAGGTCAACATGATCACAATTCAGGTATAGCACTCTGTTTAGTGGGTATTCCCTCTATGTTGTCTTCTTGTTTCATGTAGTTAATCTCATTATGCACAGATATAGTTATTTTCTCATTTAATACACAACTGTCTTAAACAGGATAATCTGAATTAACAATTCCTTGCCACCAGCAGCCTTATAGTGAATATAAATAACATAACAGGAATGTTAATGGTCATCTTCCAAAACTAAAACTGTTGGTTCACTAGAGTATTATAGTGGCATTGTCTACTAGCATTTCAAATGTACTCTATTGGTATCAATAGACAAATTAAGTATTTTAAAAGGTTAATTAAACATGTGGATATAGCTTTATGATAAGCTACATTAGGAAAGTTAGTTTCTATGCTAAACAAGTATTTATAAATTCCCACATTATAGTAGTCATACATTCAGGGAATATAAATCCTTAACGACTTTTGAAGGTAATTTTTAAACGTTCTTTATTATAACTTGTTTAATATAAACTTAATAATAATTTTATGAATGTTTTGTTTGTTGATTGAAAATAAAAGCAAGACTGGTTTGGCTCACATGGAAAACCTAACTCTTTTCATCACCTGGTATACTTAGTAATATGATCCTCTATTTCCCCTCACTCCTAGTAAGCTTTATAGTAATAAACAGAAGCTCTTCAGGATGTACACCTCTCGGAAACATAGGTATCCAGCATCCTGTCTACTCATATGATAATGGGAATGCCAACTAACATCAGGTGCATGAAGACTTTAGTTCCCTTCTTGGTGCTTTTTTGCTCCTTGAAGAATTATTTCATAATTTGGCCTGGGTTTCCCCCATCCTCTGCTGCCACAGCTGCTTATATAAGGTCTACTTGTTGCTTGCTGCCTGCAATTTTGTACCAAATATTTTTTGTAAAAGTTTGCTTTTTATAAATTTATAAATACAGGGGGGGATATAATCCATGCAATTAGATAACTGCCTTGATTGTGTGCCTTGGTTTAAGAATAATTGTGATGTAGGGGGGAAAGGACCTATATTTTTTTCTGAGTAAAAAAAGCAATATTGTGGGTTTTCCCCCCCTAATGTTTCCATAAAATACCACTCTGAAATAATTTAGGTAACATTACACAGCTTTGTCCTCCCTTGTCTGAGCCTGGGAGATCTGTGTATTTGTTTCTAAAAGAATGATTTAGCCCAACTGGAATCAGTGGGTCTCATTTACCAAAAACAGTACCAAATTAAGGTTATGAATTCATTGAAGAAAAATATTCTTGGTCCCTGCCAGCAAACAGTTACAATATTTTTCCCTGATACGTTAATATGCAAATCAAAATAACTCTTGACATTCTTTAAAAATAGAGAAGTAAAATATAGCTTGTTCCATTTCTTTAAAATCTTAATAAATTATTATAAACAACTGAAACTACCAGGAGGCAGTGGCTCCAAACATTTAATTAAGATCCCTTCTTCAGTAGCCTTGCAATGATATCACAGTGACCTCTAGTGTACTAAGAGTGCAGAAAGAAAACTCAGAAAAATGTGAATTCCAGATGTAATGATTAAAATTGCATTTTCCAACAGTGTTTCTCAGCATTCATTGAGGCTGTACTCCAAGAATTTTTCTTCTCAATCTTAGTGCTCACTCTAACAAGATTGGGAAAATTTGGCCTATAGCAAGATTTTTAAAAGGAAAACTGATAAAGATGATTTTAGAACAGGAAAATAATTTTTGAGTTGTTACATTCTAATAAATTAAAGCTAAATTTAGAGAAAACTTGCTTGAATTTAGTTTTTCAGAAGTTGACAGCAATCTTAAATCTGAGCTTATGTTCAACCAAAACTACATGGTTATTCATTTCACTTAACAAAGAGAAGCCATTTATTTATCCATTTGTCAACTTTATATGGCTGCCTATCTCACACAAAGTGACTGGGTGGCATACAATAAAACCTACTATTAAAACCTATTAAAAACCAATTAAAAACAATTAAAGAGTAATAATAGATCAAAGCAAATCCACAAGTGGGGAAATATCATGCATAATACAACCAGTACATGAATTCCTTATTTCCAGGAGTTCCCCAGGCCTGTTGAAAAAAAAACAAACCACATGTTTTAAGGGTTTTCTGGAAGTCATTAAGTGTGGAACTAACCTCGCCTCAAGAGGGATGATGTGCCAGAGGGCAGGTACTATGGTTGAAAAGGCTCACCTCTTAGGTACCATCAAATGGGACTCTTGGAGACGGAATCCACAAACTGCTGCTAGACCTGATTGAATGCACCAGACCTCCTGATCTCCTGCTGCTAGACCTGATTGGATGCACCAGACCTCCTGATCTCCTGCTGCTAGACCCCATGTGCAGATGTAATTTGGAAGAGGCAATCCATCAGATAACTTGGACCCATGCCATCTAGGGCTTTAAAGCTCAAAAACAGCACCTAGAATTTGATCCAGCAGCAAACTAGCAACCAATACAGCTCACAAAGCAAAGATGTAACATCTGCCCTCTTGGGGGCATTTATAAAAGCCCATGCTACTGCGTTTTGCACCAGTTGAAGCTTCCAAGTACTGTTCAAGGGCAGCTCCATGTAGAGTGCATTACAATTACAAAGTATTTCCTGACCAGGGAATGAATACCTGTGAGCAGAGTCTCACAATCCAAGAACAAGCGCAACTGGCAAGAGTTATGAGTCCAGGAAGACCTTCAGTTTGCAAGTCAGATCTGTCTAGGGCCGTGCCACCCGATTCAGTACCAAACATATTAAAGTCTCAGATCCAGAAGGCCCTAAAACCCAAGCAGGATGAAGACCAGGGGTAGGTTGCTGGGGGTTCGCAGGAGTTCAGGAGAGCCCCTAGCTAAGATTATGCACAGTTCGGAGAACCCCCAAATCCCACTTCTGGCTGGCCCTGCTCACCCCTCCCCTCCTCGCTCAGGAGTCCCCATGCAGCCCGTTTTAGATGCAAGTAAGTGCAGGGCGCGTGTGGAGACTTGGGGAGGGCAAAAAGCGGGCTTCCCAGAAGTTTGGGAAGGCTGGAAACAGGGCTGTTTCTGGCTTCCAGAGAGCCCCTGGAGCCTGGGGAGGCTGTTTTCACCCTCCTGGAGGCTCAAGGAAAATCTCCGGAGCTCAGGGAGAGCAAACCTCCCCCCCCCCATGGTGCAGGAGGCCGTCTAGGCCACATCCACCATGGCCACGCCCACCCAGCAGCCAGGCAGAGAACCCCTTGCTAAAATTTTTGAATCCCACCCCTGATGAAGACCAACATTTTTGCCAATAGTTTCCAAATATCTAAAACTGGGAAATGTAAGGGGGAAATGGTCTTCAACAAATCCGGTTCTAGTAAAATTATTTTAAGTAGACAAGAATCTATGATTCACCTAGGCAGGAGTCCAGGATGAAATGAATTAGAATTCTAGGCAAAGCTTCAGGAAATCAAAATAACAAGAACCAAAGAGTCATTGCCTGGACAGTAAAACCATCCTTCTAGGGTTGCTTAATATCTGGAAGGTCTGCCCAGACTGATACGAGGAATGTTTCACCAGAAATAAGTAGCAAAGCAAAGACTGGAGAATTGGGAATGTTATAATGCTGGAACATCCAAGGCAATAAAGAAATGAGCAACATACACTAGCTTGCCTGCCTATTTTTTTTTTTTTATAGGTTTCATGCTATATCTGGAACTGGCTATTTTTTGAATATCTGGATATCAGATATGGGCTCAGTATGGATATCCATCATATTGAACCCATACAAAAATAAAGGAAATTAACTATATCATGGGTTCTCAATTTCCACTACCGTACATAAATTCTGTGCTATCATAAAATATCAGCTCCAGGAAAAATTAGTTTGGGAAATTAAATAAGTGCCAAAGACAATTATTAGAAGAGCAAGAATTCAACATACTGTATGTAAAATTTTGGACAGATAATTATTCTATATTGACTTAATTTTAATAAATATGGCAGAAAATAAAAATATATATTATTGCTATCATTCACCATTTTATTTTTAAGTAAAACAGTTTTAGTCCAAGAAACCAAACCATGCAATATTTTAAATATTATGTCTGAAAGCTATCGTACACAGTATTTAATTCATAGACTGCAACATGGCGGGTTTTATCATTCCAAAGAACCAATTTGATTATTAATCCTAGAATTTCAAGCTGCTAGTTTTTGCTGCATATTGCTGACTTATGCAGTGAATGCAGTTCAAAATATAACACTCACTATAATATTCATTAGCTTCACAGTGACATTGTTGTTCAGAAGTATATAATTGATTTCTCGTATCAGTTTTGATACTCAATAGAAGTAAATGTAAAGCAAATAGGATCTGAAACTGGTTACCATGGCACAGTAAACTACCAACACTCTAATTCCATATCAGGGCTATCAAACTCCTGGCCCATGGGCCAGATGCGTCATGCATTGGCCACACCCATGCCCGGTTTAGCGAAGGGGAAAAAAGTCCTGATATATGTGATGCTGCCATGATGATGTGAGTTTGACACCCCTGTTCCACAGGTGGTACTCAGCCAGTTCTGACAGGTTCTGGAGAACCGGTAGCAGAAATTTTGAGTAGTTCGGAGAACCGGTAAATACCACCTCTGGTTGACCCCTCCCCCATCTATTCACTGCCTTTGTCCCGAGTCCCAGCTAATCGGAGTCCCAGTTTTTGTTGCCCTGTGCAGAACAGAGCTGGAAAGCAGGTTAGTGGGGTGAGGAGAAAATGGGGATTTTATAGTATATCCTTCCCCTGGAGTGGGGTGGAAATGGAGATTTTACAGTATCCTTCCCCTGGAGTGGGGTGGAAATGGGGATTTTACAATATCCTTCCCCTGCCACATACACCAAATCATGCCACATCCACCAAGCCACACCACGCCCACCAAGCCACGCCTACAGAACCAGTAGTAAAAAAAATTGAATACAACCACTGCCCTGTTCCATATTATTCCTTAAGCACAGCCAGTGGCTTTTCTGTGGTTAAATATTTCCTCTGAGCCCAGAGCCACTGACATTTCCAGTTAACACCAACTTGAATTTGAAACCATTGTTTGTGATTGTCAAATTCTGGCTAGTGTTAACCAGAAATGTTCTCTAAAATCTGAAGTGGCCTTTATGCCCACCAGAGTAATTTAACATGGCATGTGAATTTCTCGGGGAGAAAAACCTTAGGATTTGTCTTGTAACCAATACAGTACATTAATTCTGAAAAGTAACATGGGAATATCCTTGATAAATGTTTATATAATAATTACAAGTAGCAGAAATTAAGGTTGAAGGCCTTTCTCATGATTGTTTTTCTTTAAAAAGTTTACTTTCTCTAGTTGAAAAGGGTAAAACAATTCTGGAAAAGGCACTCTCTTGAAGGCCACAATGAAAAATACACAATTTTCCAATTGTTTTACTGCAATTTTAAAACTGTAAGTTTAGAAATTGTCTGGCATGTGCTTGATTCATTGCATTTGGTCTCCTGCCTATTCTGCTTGTATTTGTAATAAAACATATTAAATTGCATGTATACATTTTTTATTATCTACAAATTTCATAATCACTGTCTCATAATTTCATTTCATTTCCTATAATCCAACAGAGAAACATTTCCTTTTTAGATTGTACCTGGTTCAAGCAGCAAGACACCGAGAATGTATTTTTAAAGGCTTTTGGTGGTGGTAGAATCCATTTCCATTTCCTCTGTTTTTATTGTCATGTTGCATGAAGATCCAAGAACCATGATTAAATAGAACAGACAAGGCCTGAACTCGATTAGCAGCTATAGCAACAGGCAGATAGTCTTTTCCATCTGTACCCTAATGGCCCAAATTATTTGCTTCTTCAGAGACAGTCTGTACTCATCCCAGGAACAAATACAATTGGGAGAGATTTCAGGTTTTCTCCCGCTTGTTCCTTAAAAGGTATCTCCCCACCCCTAATTTTCTTTGAAATTACTGTATATTGCAGATCTTAATGTACAAATCCCAATATAATCCAGTCTAATTTGCAATCTCTATACAGGTAACCCTTGCTTAATAGTCACAATTGCAACTAGCATCCTGATCACAGCAGTAGTTAATCAAAATGTCACATGATCACTGAGCAACAGTGACCACAATATTGACACTCCTGGTTGCGGTCTTTAAACAATCTTAACAGGTTGTTTAATAGGACAGAGTACCAGGTAAGGAGCATGGGGTGCTTCAAGGGTATGAAGAGGACCTTAGGAACTTCTGGTGTAGGCGGTACACAAGTCTCTCTCTACTCAGGAGCTGAAAATCCTCCCTGTCAAAATCCAAGCATGCATACCCTTCCCCAACTCAAGGCACCCCATGCTCCTTACTGTACCTTATGGCAGGGGTCCCCAACCACCGGTCCGCGGACCGGTACTGGTCTGTGGAACAAGTCCTACCGGGCCGCTGGCTTGCTGGGCACCGCCATCTTGTTTTGATGAAAAAGTGCTTCCGGTGAGCTTTTCCGGGTAGAAAGCTCACCGGAAGCACTTTTTCATCAAAACAAGATGGCGGCGCCCAGCTGATGTCGGTACTGGGCCGCGCCATAAAAAAGGTTGGGGATACCGGGCCGCGGCATAAAAAAGGTTGGGGATCACTGCCTTATGGTACTGCCTCTCTGCTCAGGAGCTGAAAATCCTCCCTGCTGAAATCGAAGCAGGATTTTCAGCCCCTGAGCAGGAAGACACTGATGTGCTGCCTGCCACTGGGCCTCCCCCGCCCCCGCCCCCCAGGCACCCAATGTTCTTATTATCTTACCATGCTGCCTCTCCACTCTGAGGCTGTAAATTCTACCTGGCTGAAATCCCGCTTCGATTTTAGCTACAGGCCTTTTCCAGCCAGCCCTCAGAAATGAGAAGGAATCCTCTTTTTCTCTGGCAGCTGGCTGCTAATAGCCCAAGCTGTAAATGCTCCATGCCAAAATCCTGCTTCCTGCTGTCTTCCTCACTGATTTTCTAGGGGAGATTGCAAATGGCATCACATGATCACAGGGTATAGGTAACCATTTGTAGGTGCAAATGCTTTGCCAAGTATCCAGATTGCAACCATGTGATCACATGGGTATTACAATGACCATAACTTAAAGGCATAAGTCATGAGTCCCTTTGTTCAGCGCCGTCATAATTTTGAATGGCTTGCAGAACAAATGGACGTTATGTGAGAATTATCTGTAAGTCATTGAGGGAACACTGACTAAAAATTATCATTTAAGTCCAAAATAATATACTTCTAAGTAAACTGAGCTATGCAGCCCTTCATTTTGGAGTGCCATGCACATCCACACACCATCAATCTACAATTTCTAACAAGAAGTAACAATTGTTCAGGATAGCAGCTGCTGTTACAGAATACTAGGAAGATATGTTTGCCCACTCCTGTAAATAAATAAATGCTGGACTGTGGTAGTTAACTGAGTAAAATTCATATTCTGTTATTAACAATTAGTAGTTGCAGTACATCTAAAAAATAAACAGATTTTACCTAGTTCATAATCTTTTTTGTACAAATCAGATAGGAATATCTACAAACAAGCAATCTATCTCCTTAATTTCTCAAGATAAAAGGCAACTTTGATCAGATAAAAACTAATTATCTAATCTGCTTCTTTTATTTGGTTCTATAGCCTATTATTGGCAAATAAATAATCCCTTTCCCAGAATGTAATATTACATTTCTATGAGCCAGTCTTTCTACTGATAGACTTAATGAATATTCTGTTACTTGTTCTGAATTTTGTTAGATAGGTAGACAACTCTGTGATCCATTGGGCCATTCTTGAGAAAAAGGTAGTGCAGTCTCGTGGGACCAGAATGAAGTCCATTTTTTTTAACCCTCATCCAGGGTCTCGTGATCATGTAAGAAGAATATATATCATAAATAAACAATTTTAGCAGCAAATGAACTTCAATAATGAGTTGATATTTATTTACATAAACAGAATTTTGGGCGAAAAAGTGTTTAGATGGTAGGAACTTCCAACATTCTGCCGGTTTTTCCATTAACTTTGGCAAGCTGGCAGGAAATCACAATCATGTGACCATGGGGACATCGCAACAACCAAAACTTTGTGAACAAAACTGGTCTGTCATGAAAATTGCAAATCCACAGGAATAAGGGGGCCCAGATTTTTTACACGTTCCTTAAGTTAGCAGTTTTTAGGTACCTTGGTTCAAAAATTGTTATGAGGTAATGCACCATGTGAGCAAGCATGAGGAAACAAACAAATCAATAAACATAAGAGTGTTAGTAATATATGGTCTATGTCTGTGTATGCATAGAGCTTTGGGTAATAAGAAATCTGAAATGTAGTGTTTGCTAATGTCTGTGGCCTGTTGAAAAATGTCATGTTTGGGAGCGTGCATGAATAATAACCCTAATCTTGCTTGTCTAACTTTTAACAAACTGCATGCAAAAATAATGGCACTTGAAAACTATTGATTCCATTGTAGAGCAGCTTACATGCACAGCCTATGTTGTACAATTTAAAATCATAGTTAGAGCTGCCCAAAACATATAGCTGAAACTTTGCTAAGTTTAAATTTGATATTTTTTGTTAGTTGATTTTGTTTCACTCTTACTGTAATATAGTATCTTTTTCTCAGTAATAGTACATTCCTCCAATGAAATCTCTAATACCTATCATATTATAAAGAAAGTGATTCAATCTATAAGAAGTACACTTTTATGGATCCTCATCCATCCATCCATCCATCCATCCATCCATCCATCCATCCATCCATCCATCCATCCATCTATCCATTCAATTTATCTGGCTGGCCATCTCACAGAAGCGTTCCCCTAACATCAAGGCTTTGGCGTCAAGACAGACAAATTCCACAGTTTAGGATGGGAGCTACTATTAAGGGGAGGCAATCACATATTTTCCTTTTCTTTCAATTCTGTATGATGTCTGGAATGTGTATTATTATTATTATTATGATCAGTATTAATATCACTGTGTATTTGGTCTTAATATTGCAGCTTGGTGAACTTTTCCAGGTATGGGGATTTCATTGATTCTTGAAGTTTTCCTACTTCCTTTTGTATCAAGAACTGATCAGCGCAATACTGAAGGGGGGAAGGAGAAGGGAGCTCAACCCATGGAATACATTCACATCTGCATCCAAAGACATGCAGCTGAACGTGTATCTTCATCTATAATTGTAAGCATGATACATGAATCAATGTGAGTGAAGTAAAAGTTCACGTGTTTGCTTCCACAGTCAAAAGCTGAGCTTTAAAGAACGGGTGCGGATGGCTAGCCCGAGAGGCCAGAGTATCAAGAACAGACAAGCTTCACTTGCGGACAGAAGATCTCCAAGTACGGATATTACTGCAGAGGGAAGCCCAACAAAAGTGCAAAAGAGTTGGAGTTTCAATGACCGAACCCGCTTCCGGCCTTCCCTGCGTTTGAAGAGTTCTCAGCCTAAGCCAATACAAGATAGTAAGTCTTTTAAAATGTCTTATTCATTGTATTTATGTCACTCTGTCACATTAAATATTATCTCACTGTGATGACCCAGGGTGGGAGACAAAAGCAACGAAGTCACAAAAACAGGTGAAGTCCCTTTAATTCCTTCAACTTGGCTTCAAAGGTCCAATTATCATTGACTGGAGAAAAAACTCCCCCACAAACAGTTGTGAAAAGGAAGATTCAGGTATATCAGTCAATTAGGAAAAATGGAGGAACGGCAATACTTTCCAACAGAAGGAAACAGAGATACACTCTCTTCTGAGATTAAGACTAAGACAAACCAGGTTTCTGGCTCCATCTTATGGCCGTTTGACAAACCACACCTAACTACAGTTTTGCATTTTCTTAAAGATACAGTTTTAAAATGTCTATCCTGGTTTATATATTTCTAACCCAAATACCTGTTAGGTGACTTATATTCCTAACAGTAATGCTCCAACCTACAAAACAGAAGCTACAAACCCCAGCACGATACAAGCCAATCCGCTTCTATGAAACATTTATTACAATAAGAAATTGATATGATACAAATTTAACTTATTCTTCATTCCTGTGTTACATTTTTAGTAATTACACTATAAACTACAGGTTTACAAGTCCTTGATTGACAACAGTTCATTTAATGTTACAAAGTCACTTAAAAAAAGTGACCGATGACCATTTTTCATACTTACAACCATTGCAGCATCCCCATAGTCACGTGATCAAAATTCAGACGCTTGGCAACTGACTCATATTTATGATGGTTGTAGCAGTGTCCTGGGGTCAGAAGATCCCCTTTTGTGACCTTCTGACAAGCAAAGTCAATGGGGAAGCCAGATTCACTTCACAACTGTGTTACTAACTTAATAACTGCATGGTTCACTTAACAACTGTGGCAAAGAACGATCATAAAATGGGGCAAAATTAACTTAATCATTGGAACCACAAATTTTGAGCTCAGTTGTGTTTGTAAGTCGAGGACTACCTGTGTATACCTTTCCACTGCAATCTGTTTCCTTTGCAGAGTAATGCTTTCCAGTGCTAACAATCTAACTCCTCAGTATTCCTAAGTATATTATTTTCCTAATTTTTAAGTTGACCTTCATGCTATTTTCTCCTTCCTCACTTGCTTGTGGATTCCAGACCCAGGACTGCTGTCCTCTCTTTTCCTAGTCTCACTTGCTAACAGCTAGCAAGGGTCTACTTTTAGCAAATGGTCATCAGTTACAACTGTGACATGGTCCTCTTGGCTTCTTTCTGGGTTTTCTATTGCCCATTATAGTACTTAGACGTGGTCCCCAACGTAATACCATAATGAAGCCTGTCGTATGACAGGACAGTTGTAAAACAGATTGTGCACATGACTTGATTTCTACATTTTTTTTGCAATAGTCATTAAGCAAACATAGAGCCTTAAGAACAAATCCATGGCTCACTCTGGGCGAGGTTTTGCTGAAAACCAGAAGTGCCAGCTTCTGGCAAAACCACTGTAAAAACCTGGTCACCTGACTGGGATTTGCCTAACAGGCATAAATGCGCCTGAAGTGAGTTCACATGACCACAAAAGGGGGGGCAACCATTGGACATTTGCAACTGGGTCATAAGACCCCCTTTTCAGGTAGGTCGTAACTACAGTCAAGGACTATCTTTGCTGTCATCTCTTTTTTTTTTTTACCCTGATGCCATTTTTCTCCCTGACTTCTACACTTCCGTGCCAGGCCCTCCTCTCCAGCTTGCCAATGCTGGCTCTCGTCTGCCTTTCTGGGACTACCTACCTCTTCCCTCAGCTGGTCTTGGATTCTCTATGGGCAGAAGAGAAAACAAAAACTGCCCACCTTCCCTTCCTGGCCCCTCTTCTTCTCCAGATTCACGCTGCACTTTGCCATTGCATGCTATACCGTTGCTTTGTGGTTTTGGTGCTAGTTGTCGCTCGTGTTTCTGGCCTTCTCTTACACGTTTGGGGCTCTTGCTGCTGGAGTGATTTGGCTTGTATTTATTTACAAAATAAATACTTTGCTCTCCTGGAGTTCATCAGACCCTCTCCCATCTCTGCCATAAGCACATATACCTGTAAGCTGAAACATTTTTCTGATAAGAAAGAATTCAATTTAAATACCTTTTTCAAAATTATAACAAATACAAAAGATTCACTTTAAAATCTTTTTAAAATAGGAGAGATTTAAATACAACAAATCATTTGGAATTCTTTATGCTTCGCAGTCCACTGTTGTAACAAATCATGAAGAACTGACTATAAAAAGAATCTGTAGAAGTCCAACATCTCAACTTTTTTGTAATAATCAACTTCTTTCTAGATTGTTTTGAAAGGACTATAAAAACATATCAATGTCTATGTTGGAATGGCCTTTTCATTCCTTACTCTAGCTGAACATTTTTGAAGAAACTGGAATACTTAAACTACAGTCTTTCCTAATTAATTCTTTTGAGGCTCTGTCATCCATTATTTTCCAGGACATGTTTAAAAACACAGCACAAGAAGTTAATTCGGTTTGCGTTGTTAGTTGGCCACATTTTACTATTAAAACATTGGAAAACTAAGATGTGTTTTTCTTTGGCTCAGAAGTATTAAAAAATGTGGGATATGGAACTGGCTAAACAAATAAACACAGCAGCAGAGGATCCTCAAGAGTCTTTTAGAAAAATATTGTTTTACTCATATTTTGTCTCCATTTCTTTAAACTAGATTAAAAGGATAATTCTTAATATATTACTTTTCATTTTGTATGCTTGATATTCTGAGCAGAAACAATGCATATGGATGCTTGTGTTTCTATTCTACATACTCCCAATGACATGTTGGAATTTTACTTTTCTATTTCGGGAGGTTGTTCTTTAGCATGCTTTTTTTTATTTTAGCCTCCCCCCCCCCCCAAAAAAATGTAAATAAAGAGGGGGCTTTGCGAAATGGATATTTCTAGATGATGGTCCAACACAATCAGATGGATTTCATTCTGTTTGAAATACAGTATGATTTTGGGGGGGGGGGCACCTGAAGTGGTAGCAGTGATGATGAATGCTTCTTACTAGCTAAAAGTGATGTGGCAGATGTCCTTTAATCTCATCAACTGCAAGATTTCTTTAGTTCAAAATACTGGTAAAGGGCTTTTTAAAAATATGATTGTGTGTTACTTTATATTATGCAGTGTCCCCAATCTTTTGGATCCAGTGGGTACATTTAAGTTATGGATTAACAAGAGTATCCACTGCTGAGGAAGTGGTTCAGGAAAGTCAAGAAAATGGCCACAACCACATGATTGAAGCTTTTACATGTGATGTTTATTTTAAAGGATGGGGCTTTGTCTGCACCGTCACAAGAAAACATTTTTATTTTTGTTTATCCTCCTCCATGTGTCTATTAACATACACACACACACCATAGAAGTTATGCTTGTGAGGTTCAGAGAAACACAAAGTGCTACAAAAACATGAAAACAAATACCTGTAGAATACCTGTGTATATATATTTATACATTCATATAGCATCGGTAAATTAAAATTACAAATGTTAACCCTCTTTCACAAACTTACTAGGCTATGGCAAAAAATAAAGAGGCCAGCAGTAGATTAGCATCTTTGCATGTATTTTTCCTATGCTGGTTTGGGTCTTTCCTCAGTTTCTCAGCTGGCAGGTTTGCTGACTTGCTCAGTTTCCAATAAAAATGATATGTCCATCTAGACTAGGAGTGTCAAACTGGCGGCCTGTGGGCCAGATACATCACTCCAGGTCATGCCCACCCCATGCCCTCCCTGAAGGAGAAAAACATCATGTGACTGCAACGTGATGCAGCAAGTTTGACACCCATGATCTAGATCTTGACATCTGTAAGCTTACCATTGTTTTCTCAAAAAGCAATGCACTGCTAAGCAAAGCAGTCAGCTACTATTTCTACTTCCTAAGTAGAATGCTTTGGAGCATTTTTAAGGGTAGAATAGAGAATTGGGCAAGCACTGAAATTCAGTACTGTTATATAAAACTTCCAAGTAAGTAACTTTCCCCTCCACCCATCTTGATCCATGAGCGAAGACTTTCACACATCAATTTTAACCCTAACAGAACAGTTTATATTTGCAGCAATTTTGTCTTAAAAGTTGCAGTTTACAGTAGCTGAACAACACAATATTTATCTTTAAATTTGAACATAAATCCTGTGTAAACATACATATAAATGCAGATCTAGGCAACAATTCTGTATAGGAGTTCAGTCCTGACCGGCTCAAGATTGGCTCATCCTTCCATCCTTCCGATGTCGTAAAATGAGGAGCCAGGCTGTTGGGGGCAATAGGCTGACTCTGTAAACCACTTAGAGAGGGCTGCAAAGCACCGTGAAGCAGTCTTAAGTGCTATGGCTAGGTGCTGTTGCTATAAAATTATATAAAATAAATAATTAAATTATATGGCGTAAGTGTCTAAGAAGACATGTTCATAATAACATTGTTAATGTAGTAAACTGATTTTGAGATTTCTCATATCACTTTTTTCAAACCTTTTTTTTAACATTGACAAATAAAGAATAGATTTGTCAACTTAATTGGCCATTTATGACCTTTAACTTCAGACAGAAGTTCAGCAGGTGATGCTTTCTAACAATTTTATCAGGAAGCAAGCTCACCTGTTACATATCTGCATGTTATTCTGCTATTAAAGGTAGAAGAACAGAATTTTTAAAGGTCATACCTAGATATAGTGTACTTTAATCGTTCCCTTTTTTCATCGTCTCAGAACTCTCATTACTTCATGTGCTTTATCTTATTTGCTAATGTATGGTTGTTTAGATATAGCTGAAATTACATTTCTCACTATTGCTCACCATTATTCATGGTGCATGGGACTACTAAGCATTGTAGAATGACAACATCTGGAGGGCCACAAGCCTTTCCCCCATGCTAATGAAAAATTACTCTGAATAATGTCAGTTCCTTTCAATTCTAAATAATCTCAGATCTGCTTCTTGACCAAAGCTATCTGT